GGGGGGGGGGGGGGGGAGAGTGCAATGTTCCTTTGCTTGATCCAATCAAATAGTTTAGCACAACAAAGGAAATTGTTCATAAGGACGTGATAAAGCTATGTCGAATTTAAATGCAGATCAACAAAACAGTTCCTACATTGTCTGGAGTGAGGTATAATTAAAGCGAAGAAGAGGGCTGTAAATATGAGAGGTATACGTGATGTAAAACTGAATATTATTCATGGCAGTGTTTGGGTAGTGATTGAAAAAGCTGGAAGATTAAAGACATTCTTTGGAAATGTCCCAGCATCTTGGGGATTCCCCGATAGACATGACTGCTTATATAAAAGTATTGAGGTTAAAAATATTTTTTTTAAGAACAAAATATGGCCTCAGTTTGAACAAAAACATTTTGTGAAGGTGCACTTTAGAGGGACAATGGGAACACGTTTAGGTTTTTGGGTAATACAGTTTATATATTGGCCCCATTACATTGATTTGTTGTCTGATCTTAACAAACGCATTTATTTTACTTGTATGGGAAAAATATATCTTCCTAATGCACTTTATAGAATGTTTTATACTATATTGACGATAAAGGGTTGTAGCTATGAGAGCTCAGGGTGTTGAGTTTAGCGATGAGCAGAGGCCCAATGAGCTTCAGAAAGCAAGGGGTTGAAACTATTGAGTAGAGCCGCTAGAAATTGTCTTTGGAATTAATTACAAAAAAGATATGGGGCATTTGATTTATGCAAGGGGACATTGACATATGCATTTTAACTTCTTCATTTCTTAATTTCATTATAAAAGCAATGCCCGGTCTTCAAATTTTCATTACTAAACTTCACTATAAATAAACTTTAACCTCTTTTTCAAAGCAGGCGTTTCGTACGCCCTCTCGACCCAAAATAAATCATTTAATTCAGAAGGAAAAACTTCCGACCCTGCCTGTCAGGGCCAACTCGGGCAGAAGGAGATACAGCAGCACAGCAGAGGAAGACCGATACACTCGATAAAACTCTTCTCCCCTGTCGAGAATCGAACTCGGGTCTCCTGCGCGTGACAGTGAAGCGCCTAACCGCTACACTACAGACGCCTGTGTTTTTACCTCTTCATTACTCAACTTCACCATAACAGCAATGCTCGGCCTTAATTACTTCTCCACAACTAAACTTTAACATAAAAGCACTGCTGGTAATCTTTTGTAACCTTATACACATCTAGCATTTGTTTTAAACTTCGATGTAGCCGCTGATGTTGACGATGAAAACAATAACGAGAGCACCGATGATCAAGCCACAGATGTGTAGAGCGGCCATGACCTTGGCCTCTGACCCCCCACGGGCCATGAGGCTGTCCAGCTGGGAGCTCATCTCTGGAAGCTGTGGGCGAGAACACAGAGAGGTGGGTGGGGG